GTATTAATTGTGATGGATATAATGAAATACTACTAGGTACTTATAGACAGGTCAGTATAAGTCATATTAATTGTGATGGATATAATGAAATACTACTAGGTACTTATGGACAGGTCAGTATAAGTCGTATTAATTGTGATGGATATAATGAAATACTACTAGGTACTTATGGACAGGTCAGTATAAGTCGTATTAATTGTGATGGATATAATGACCTTGAAGTAAATTCTTGCTGTGGTAATTTAAACAAATATTGTACATTTTCAGCAACTGTTAATTTACAAATCATTGAAAGAAGAAATGAATATTGAAACTAAAGATAACAAGGATGAAGTTCAAGATTGTTTATCCTTGATATCTTCTGATTCAAAAGAGGGAAAATATAAATTGGTATTTGAGAGAATGTTTTTAGATCCAGTATTGGCAATGCAGTATATTGATATCACACATGATGGACTCAAAGAACTCATGGTTGTATCATTAAAAGGAGTTCATGTCTTCCAGGTATGTCACTTTAATGCAGACACCAACAAGAATTCTAGAATTAAAAGTGTAGCATTACTGTGATTATTACCACATTTTCACGAATCAAGGAAAATCAGTGAAATTTGTAGCCCTTAGGAGAAAGGAACTCAAATTCATCAAATTGGAAAGAATTCTAGTGTCAATAGTTAAGATTTTACCTTCTTATAGAAAACTTTTAGAAAACTTGATTTGGGACTACTGTACAATTCTTTATTTTTAGCTGGAATTAATTAATGAAAAGACTTTTTGGGTGTTTTGTGTGGATTTTTTTTCACAATTATTTTGATGAGTTGTAAATGTATAATATAAGACAAAGGTATATTTACTGGATTTTATTTTCACTGAATCATCCCTTAAGGAAAATAGTGTAAATAAAACCCAAACGAAAATAAAGTATTTGACAGTAACCATACATACATGTAAATGTGTCTTGTAAAGAGAATTTACTTATAATATAATTTACATCATATATGTGGATGATAAGTTGAGATAGAAATCTAATGAAATCCGTATTAATAACTCTTTGAACTTCATATTTTTTCATATGTACTACATTCTGCAAGATTTCACTGGTTTTGATCAAAATTGTGGACAAAATAAGCAAACTACTTTCACATTCAAAGGTTAAACTTGAAAACTACCTTCTATTTTCAGCACAATCTGCAGAAAGCAGCTGAGAAGTGCAAGAAAAAACTTGAAGAACTTCACTCAAGCAGACAAAAGGACACTGGATGAAATATAAAAAAATTACTAGAAACACTAACTTATATATGTTATCATCTAACTTTAATATTGTTTTAACCCAACATTTCAATGTAATTCGACAGTACCTTGTACTGAAACAGTTCCTGTTGTGTGTTTTCATTTTAATAAATGCATTGTATGACTTTCTAAACTTGCATTATGTACATTGTATAAATTATAAAAGCATGCATTATGTATTCATTGGAGATCTCAATACAAAGTCAAGCAGCTTGCATGAAAATCCGATTTTAATGTAATTTCTAAGATAATGGTTTATTTTTAATTAACTGAGGATGTGAATTTAGACACAGAAAAATCTGATGAAATGAAAAAACCACAAATGAAACTGTATTGATGAAATATTCCATATAAAATATTTTGAATTTCAGTTTCTAAAATTTGTAGAACTGTTTGTATTGGAGACACATGAAAAATTAATTCAAAATTACTTGTACATGAGATATTGATGGAAAAGCTGAAATAATTATGCAAATTTGATAATTATTATGCACAATTATTTACCCCAAAACTAATCAGGGATCTGCATCGCAAGTTTCATGGAAATGTGATGATTTGTAGTTGAGCTGATAAAAGCTGAAAATGAACTAATTATGCAAATTTAGTAATTAATATGTACAAATATTTACCCCAAAACAATCAATCTCTGCGTAGTCCTTGAGAATCTGTCATTGAAATGTGATGTAACTATTTGAAATATCAAGAGCTGAAAATTAATTAATTATGCAAATTAGATAATTAATATGCACTGATATTACCCTAAAAACTATCAGATCTGTGCAGTATGCTATCACATCTATGTCGCAAGTTTCATTGAAATGTGATGATTGGTACTTGTGATATCAGTGAAAAGTAATTATGCAAATTAGGTAATTAATATGCACAGATTTTACCCAAAATAATCAAATCTGCGCATTAGTTCAGAGCATCTATGTACCAAGTTTCATCAAAATCCAATGAGTGGTTCTTTAGATATCAGTGGAAAAGCTAAAAATTAGCTACTTATGCAAATTTGGTAATTAATATTAATCAAAAAATAGGTTGGTGAACTATATAATATACATGTCTGATTGGAATAAATAACATGCATACACGTATTTGATGGTAATTTTTATACCATATTTATTTTATATGGTTTAGTAATATTTACACCAATAAACGCACATGACACACACAGCTATCACATTATAAAAAATCTAGTCTCAAAATATGCAAAGAATGATACATTTTTGGTAAATACTACCAATATAATTAACATTACAATTGTTTTATACAATTATTACAATTGTTCAAGTGTAAGTATTCTTAGAAATATTGGAAATCAGAAATAAATAACATTACCTTTATTACAAAGTTTACTTTAGCCATTGCTACTATAGACAAATCTAGCATTAAGTAAATGGATTTTGACCGACTAGCACTGCTGCATGACAACATACGAGTCAAACTATAGTTTCAGAAATGACAGAATTAATATGTTAATCTACTTAGTGACTAAATTATGATATATTCATAAGTAAATTAGCTGCTATGCTGAAGAAGAACACTCGATGGTATGTTCTCGTAGTGTTACTGTATTTTCTCTGAAGTGCAAAGCCAAACAAATTGGGTATGGTGAGATTTAAAATAAATGAAACTCACACTGATCATTCTGGAAACTTTGCATATGTGTTTCTAATAGATCAAATATGGTACATTTTATATTACAATACAACCATAGACAGATTCATCAAAATATTGACCGACATTTTTTGTGATGTCACCTTCACAAAATCACAATCACCTTCTCCTAATACTAACAGTCCTGGGTATATTTACATGTATACTGTAAGCCGCTCAAAATTTGTGAGACACCTTTTTTTTTTTTAATTATACTGACCTTCTTTAAGCAGGGAGTGACTAGTAAAATTTACATACAAATGACCTAAAACAATAAATTGATACTTTCATGGGACAACAAAAATACAATAAATTGATACTTTCATGGGACAACAAAAATACAATAAATTGACACTTTCATGGGACAACAAAAATCAATGTCAGTTAAAAAATCGTTATGGACGGAAGAGATGACCTGAGTCTATATTATACAACGATGACTGATTCACTGACTGGCATATTAATTACTGCTGTTATTATTGGCACTGCCCGATGTTGCCGCAAAACAAATACCTGGAATATACAATCGATTACAAAACAATGTGTGTTAATCGTTAAATAACAATTGATGATTTAAGACAGATGAAAGGTTTTAAGAAGATTCAAACATTTTGTATCACAAAAAAAAATGACTTTTTGAATGTCAAACTATTGTCACTCGTCAAAAACTTTGATTAAGATCTGGTAATTAAAAATTAACTATTTTGGCTTTCAAAGTGTTGAATGGTTTCAGTACCTTAATTGTGTCTGATATCCCTTTGTCATTCAAGCATTCAACCAATGTTTCAAAATTATAATTCAATCCAGGAATCAACATAGGTACCTGTAAGAGAAAGCAACAAAACATTAATCGCTGTACCCATGAAAACTAATATTGTCAACAATTCTGCATTCTGGTGCATTCATTCACAGCCATTTAAAACATTTTTTAACAGTACAAGTATGATACACATTAGCGTATTTTGATACATAAATCAGGGTTGAGTATTTACAATAACAATATTTTTATCACAATAACATTATGAAAAGCTATTATTATGTCAACAAGGACCTGTCAAAGTTACTCGCAGACCTTTCCCAAAGACTCGCTCAAAATTGCATCCATTATTGAGTAAAATAATTTCATTTTTAGTTCCGATGCAGTATGAAAAGGGGACTTATGGATTGACCTATGGATCACTTTCAAACTTCACATATACAGTATATCTTGGGATGGCTGAATGTTGGATATTTTAAGCATAAAAATTCAGCCAGTCTGCCATTTATTTTAACAAATGCTGTTCCATTGCCTTGACCAATTAAGTTAAGATTTTATAGATACACCATACACCAAATAGCGGCCATTTTAATGTTAAAAATTCAGAAAAATCTAGCATTTCTACCATCCTTGACCCAGATCTTGGTTATACATGGACAGCTGTAGTTCACCTTGGTACAAACATTGAACATATATGCATATATATAACTGCACATAAATGGTGTTCTATCAAACTTTATCAACTTTGACTCTTTCATGACATGACTTGTGTTACCTGTTTTTAATCTGAAGATTCAAATGAAAGAGTCAGTAGACTCGTGCATACTCACATGGATGAGGTTCTTCTGTAATGCATATAATTTGTCATCGTATTGAAAACTAATGATTAGACTCAAACTTGGTGTGTTCATAGAGGTGTTCTGTAAACTCACAGTCAGTTTGAAGGTTGGACCAATGCCTTGAATCTGGAAAATAGTGTAAGTTTGAATCTCACCTAACTTGAACCCGA